TGTTCCGGCTAATCTCCGAAACGGCTAAGCCGGTTTTGACGGGACTTTCACTGGCAGGTAGCTGATTTCATAAGAAGTAACTTAGGTTACTTTTATTTTAGAAAAAGAATTAGGGTTCCGCGCAAAACATAAAAACCCTAACACGCGAGCGAAGTCGCGGGGAACAGCTAGTTCTATATAAAAAATTGTTTTGTGAACTTTTCTATCATAACTTCTATAAGTTTGTTTTTTTTAATTAAACACTTACCTTTATTTCTGAGCGTGTATATTTTTCATCGTCGTATATATATAATACATACGAGTAGGTACATAACTGTTAAATTTTTCTTAGAGCTATTAATTTTTGGAAAAATTAAGTTGTTTACGTAGATTATTGAATCTCATTTAGATACGAGAATCATTCAGATACTTTTTGAAGTTTCATAAAATAATTATGGTATAATTAATATATTTTATTACAAGTTTCTAAATCAGTGCGCATTGAGGCATTATAACATCTACGCAGTTATATGTCACTGAAAATATTGAAAAATTCGTCGCGGTCAAAATTATACAATTAAAAAATTTATTTATTTATATAATCTAACACGAGAATGTATATCACGCTTGGACTTTCTCCTTCTTCATCATCAGCCGGTGAAAGTCCAGCTGGACATGGGCTTATTCCGTTGTAGGAAGGATTTGCGCTCGGCAAGGGGATTGATGGTTCGAGGACGATACAGGAAGTCTCCGGTTCTCTAGACTCACCATACGAAACACAGCAACATTAAGCTGCTATTTTACACTGGCATTTTCTGAGAGCGTGGTCCTTCCCGGTTTAGCCGATACATTCTTCAACCATAATGTAGCTACAACGTGATTCTACCACGTATAGATGTATAAGAATGTTAACTTACCAATGACGCGTGGTGCCAATCGTGTACTTAGTGGCAGTGTAAAAATATCCACTACCTCATCTAGTGGGTTTCGTAAGAGGCGCTAGAGAGGAGCTACCTTAGTAGAAGATGGGCAGCAGCATCTTCCTAATAACAACTCAGAATAATAAATAACCGGCCAAGTGCGAGTCGGAGTAGCGCGTTAAGGGTTCCGTATCATTGTAATATACGTTTCTAGTAGAACCCGTTTTAAATTTTAATTTATTTTAATTTTTATTATGTTTTGTTATAGCGGCAACAGAAATACAAATTGTGTAAAAATTTCAACCGTCTACCTATTACGGATCATGAGATACAGTTCGCTGACAGACAGACGGAATGACGGAGAGCGGAGGCTTTGTAATAGGGTCCCGTTGGTTACCTTTTGGTTACGGAACCCTAAAAACAGCGGTTGCCAACCCGCCTATCAAGCGTGGCAACTATGGCCAAACCCTTCCCTATGAATTCATTATATTGTAATTTAAATGAGGGATTTTTATGAAATTTGCTTTCTAAATTAAGGAATCGTTTATAACGAATCTCCTAAGATGATAGTTTCGTCTTTGAAAGGTAAACCTACAACAAAGCGCCCAGTCTCATCACTTTGGGTAGCGGCAGAGTAAAATTCCTCGCAATATCTGTCTTGTTTATATGTTCATCAGTGGACATTTGTAGGCTGTAATGGTACCATTCTTTTAGCTTCCATACCGTCCACCATAGATTGGCTCGTATGGAGGATAATTGCACTCTTGCAACTACATCTACGCAATTATAAATGCATGATGTTTAATTTAACCTTAATTAAAATTAAGTTTTGGTGAGGACTAAAAATGGAAGTGAACATGGGCAAATGCCAGCCTAAACAATTATATTGATACGATAGTAGCCTAATGGCAGTGCGGACCTCGAACTCAAAATATCGTGAGTTCGAATCCATAATTCAATTATTGTCGTGGATTTGCATTTTGAGCTTACTTGAATCTTTTGAGCTTACTTTCTTTTCTAATATCATTTAAAAACAAAAAAACTCATTTAGTCTTTAAATTCCGTAGGTAGGTATCAAAAATGGAATTATTTAAATATTAAACACCGTACATTTTTAAATGCCGTGGCGATTCCGGCTAGTCGATCACCCCGGAGTCTGTCTGCCACAAAAGGTTTCCTCTAAGTGTTTCTTTTTTTTCTATAGGATATGGTGACAAACGAGCACACAGTCTACCTGATGGTAAGTGGTTGCTGTAGCCCATAGACATCTACATCTATCTTCAATAAATAATGCAAAATGCAGATGCGTTGTCACCTGTGAGGACTGAGATGGAATTCCTCTTTTCCAGTAAAAAAGGTCTCCGGTTCGCTACACTCACCATACGAAACACAGCAGCGTTAAGTTGCTATTTTACGCTGGTATTCTGTGAGAGCGTGGTCCTTCCCCGGTCGAGCCGACCCGTTCGTGCTACAGCTATACTACAAATTTAGCTGCAGCAGGCTCTACCACGTGTAAAATTATTAATTTATATTTTGGAACGGAGTTCCTTAACGGACGGTATGAATTTGGCGGATAAGTTATAAGCTAGGCGAGAAAAAATGTAGGATTTTTCCGTCACGACCCTTTCTGACGTAGTGTAGACGGCCTTGGCGGCTATGAGGAAACGAGATATTATAGGCAGATGGATATAGGTATCCCTAATATCCATCTGCCTCGCACTTTTTATTTTAAATGACGCTAATTAATTTATTTGTATTTGTTAATCAATTATATAATACGTTTATTAATAATAATATATAAGAACTACGAAAGGAACTTCGTTCCAATCGAGTGTTCCACGACACCCATGCATGTTTTTATTTGTGCACATATTATGTACCTAAATGGGGGAAAAGGAGGATGCGATTCACCTGATGGTACCTAAGTGATCAGCGCCGCCAATGAACAATTGCAAAACCAGATCAGGTTCGTTGCCGGCCTTATAAAAAAGAAAAGCCTTTTTTCTTTAAGGTATACATAAGTTGTATTGGTCCGGGAAAATTCCACAAAGTAGGTAATCGTGTAAAGAAGGAAATTTCTAGAAAATCGCACAGTGGTGGACTGTTTCAGATGATCGAAATATGGCTTAATTATAATATGCATTTTATCTAAATACCGAAGATAGATTTAAATTCGAAATTTTACTTAAAAACTAACCTCAGTTTTAGTGGCTAAAATCAAATAGATATACCTATATTTCAAACATTATTCGAATTAATGCTTTAAAAGTATTAATATTTAAACCGTATTTAGTAGGTAATTACAAAAATCTGGGAATGCGGGGAACACGAATATAAATAAAACACAGATTCGAAGAAATAAGATAAGTACCTGTTTGTATCTACTATTTTTATTTCTTTAATAAAGCACAGAACACTTATTGTTAAAGTAAATCTTAACAATTTTTTTTTAAATTAACATTTTGTGTTTGATACATAGGTACACCTCTATCTACTAACTGGTCTTTGAATTGCATAAAAATGGCGGAATATTTCAAAAGAAATAATACACAACCATGTAGATTACGTAACATTTTTTTTATAGTATAAGGGTGACAAACGAGCACACAGTCCACTTGATGGTAAGTGGTTGCTGCGGCCCATAGACATCTACATCTATCCTCTATTACAAATCAAAATGCAGATGCGTTGTTACCCGTGAGGACTAAGATGGAATGCCTCATTTCCAGTAAAAAGGGCCTCCGGCCACCTGCACTCACCAAGCGAAACGCAGAGGTAAACCTCTACTTTACGCTGGTATTCTGTGAGGTCGTGGTACCACCCCGGTTCGAGCTGGCCCATACGTGCGAAAGCAAAAGATGCCGCGTGGCTCTACCACTGTTGAATTGAAATGTTTTTGTCTTGATTGTTAACTTAATACTATACCTATATTTACACAATAGCCGCTTCACCGTCTAGTGTCCAGTGTCTACTGTCTAGTATCTAGTCAACTAACACATAATATCATACCGTCGGTGTTATTAGAAGCTATAGAGGAAAACTAAAATAGCAGATTGCGGACGGCAGCAACATACTAAAATTAACTCAAATAATTAAAAATGGCGGTTACCAACCCGCCTGCTAAGCATGACAGCCATAGCGTATTTACCCATATCAGGTGATCCACTTATGGATTGGGGGAAGCCTATGTTTAGCAGAGGACTTTTGATAGACTATGGCAATGGTGATGGTGATGGTGAGGTTAGATTTAATATATGTCAATTGAATAAATATTTTCAGCTATTATTTTACCTTTTTTTTCTATTCGATAAAAAAATAAGGATACATCGTCACAGTAGTTCGAATGATTGAGTAGAAAAGATGATAATCACGTGTTTGTTAGAAATAAAAAGAATTGCAAGCACGAGACTAAACATGTCGGAAAATGCATTATTTGAGAATAACACAAAGCAATCGAAGCCGTAGGTACCTACCTATATAACGACAGCTGCTAACAAAAAAAGGTGTTCGCACCTTGAAATCGATTCGAAGTTGTAGGGTCAATTGACACATTCCTAGTGCGGACTGCGCAGTATACAAACGGGAAAAGTAAATAAAAAAATCGGTGATCGCATCCAGCCTCCCAGATTCGCAACTATTATCTCGAACCGACCAACCAGCGAACGAGAATCGTATCCGACCCGCCATTGGACGGGCACACCCCAACGGCCCCTCCTCAAAGCTCCGCCCGAACTCAAGTCTCGACCGCTTTACCCGTTCCGTCTCAGCACAATCTCGGTCGCGTCACTGCCGTCGAGAGAATTTTAAAATAAAGATAGACCTACTAACAAAACGAACTCTTTTAAATCACGTTCCTTATCCGCTTATCACGTCGCATCACTAAAGTAGCCCCGTCTCTATCGCTTTACGTGATTCACACGAGCGAGACAGAGATGGCGAGATCGAAATTTAGGCGCGATTAGGAAAAATCGGGCGGCGCGCGCGAACGTGTTCAGTGTTAGCCGGCGTGACGCGCGAGCGGACGGCACTCGCCGGTAACTCGCTGTTCAACCGGAACTTCGCTAGTGATGTGTGTGTAGTTGACATTAGACCGTGCCAAACATGATGACTATGGACGTCGGGATGTACAACAATCAGCAGAACGGGTACAGCGGCGAGTACTACCAACAGCCGTACCAGGCTTACGAGAACTACCACGACGGGTACTACGAACCGGCACCTCACTATTACGACCCAACGCTGCCCAGTCAGCCCTTAGAGCATCCAGCACCTGTGATCAGCACAGACGCAGGCCTGTGCTACACGAATTTGGACTATGGGGACCTGCAACAGAGTTACCCGGTTCACGCCTTACCACCCCATCCGGAGCCTTTCAAACATAGAGATGATTTGCCCAGACACGAAGATTTGCATATGCATGATCACAAGCTGGACAACCATTATCTGGAGACGAAGTACAACATGCACTTCGTGGATGAATCGATGCAATTCAGCCACACCACTTCACCGTTGCCGTGCGGGGAGTTTGATCCCTATCAGCCTAAAGACGAGTTCGGCGGGCTGCGGGAGAGCTTCCCGCGGGAGGGTGAGATGCAGCACGGTCTGATGACGCACCAGCCACACTCCTCGCACACTGTGCCCACTTATAAATGGATGCAGGTCAAGAGGAACGTGCCCAAACCTTCTGGTAAGTACCTTTACAACATATTAACGTAATGAAATTGTATACCGTTTTAATCTGCCTCCAAAAACGAGGAGGTGATCATTTAGATTAACATTGAATATGCTCGTAACATAATTCCGATGTTAGTAGACCCATTTATGTTTTTTCATTTACCCTGGGTCCGTAAAAATTAATAAGATGCGAATAATTTTGTTACTTTTTTTATATAATCCAATTAATTATAAGTACTTAATTATTAAACATGAAGGATATTTATAAAACTATCTAAAAAAATTGTCAAAACAAAACTCCAAAGAAAGTTACCCATTTCTAAAGTACTGACCTAAATCCTCATATACACTATCTATCAATGGCCAATGCTGCTAATAAATGCTAACAAAGACAAAAGCCTCCCCCATAAACTGCCTAATAGAGACATTTGTTATATTAGTTGCCACGTTTAACGGGCGGGTTAGTAGCCAGTAGCCACAGTTTTTTTTTTACATTTCGAGTTGTTGTCAGGAAGATGCTGTTGCCCATCTCCTGATTCAATTTCGCTTTGTTGCCCGATTCTTCAAAATACAAGTTATCGGCACTTAGTACGGCGCCACTACCCGGCACTAAAATAATTAAGAACATTAATTAATTTAATAACAAACATTGTAAGTGTAAAATACGTCAAGATATTTTTATTTATTTATTTTTAAGCTTTATTGTAAGACACCTTAAGAACAAGACACCTTAGGATAGGCGGAATTAATGCCTTATGACATTCTCTACTAATTAATCCTATGAGAAATAGAGAAATAATAGTTAATAGGTGTTAATAATTAAATAAAAGATTTTTTAATATAAAACAAATATAATATTAAACTCTACACAAGCACAAACTATGACAAAATTAATATAGAAAATACATATTGAATAAAACTCTTTTTACGGATTTTTAGGTGCTAGTACCTACCTACCAAACCTCGTTTTCTGAGGCAACACTTCAAGACATAGTAAGCTCATTCTGCGTAGATCGGATCAAAAGTAATAATTAAAAAGCTGAAGGTACTCCGGGTTAACTTTGACATCGGGGCGTCAATTACCTCGGTCCACCCGTGACCAGCACCCATGGCAAAGCACCCGAAACGTCGGAAATTCAAAATAGGTCAAATTACACTACCTCCAAGAACGAGGAGGTGACCATTTAGATTAACATTGAAAATGCTCGTAACATTTATTTATTTATTTATTTATTCTTTATTGCATTCCTTAATCTAAAAGAATACAAAGGGCGGACTTAATGCCTTGTGGCATTCTCTACCAGTCAAAAGTCATGTATCCGATGTTAGTAGACCGATTTATGTTTTTTTTATTTACCTACATCCGTATAAATTAATAAGATGCGATTAATTTCGTTACTTTTTTTAAATAATCCAATTAATTATAATTATATAATCATGAAAGATATTTGTAAAACTATCTTAAAAAATTTTCAAACAAAACTCGAAAGAAATGCAGCCATTTCTAAAGTATAAATCATCATATGATCACAGTCTATCAAAGCCCAATGGAGAGTGACCAAAAGCCTCCCCCATAGATTGCCTCACAGTGGAGATACTTGTCATAGTTGCCACGCTTAGCAGGCGGGCTGGTAGCCACATTTTTTTTTAAATATTTCGAGTTGATATCAGGAAGATGCTGTCGCCCATCCCCTGTTTCAGTTTCGCTGTGTTGCCTGTGGCGACACTCACGGGATGATATAAGTTAATGAATTTGTTCACGCGGCACTAAAGAAAATTGGATTTTTTTTCTTTATTTATTTATATGATCTTTAGATATTGTAACATACCATAAGGACAAGACACCAAAGGCTGGATGAACTTATTGCGTTATGATATTCTCTACCAGTCAACCCAGGGAGAAATAGAGAAATTAAAGTTGGTAGGTGTTAAAAATAATATAAAAAAAGAAAACACAAAATGCTAATTTAAAACAAATATATCTACTTAATATTAAGGAATGACTTCAATAAGATTAGCTAATGGTCAAGATCTTTTGGTCTCATAATAAACCCAAATAAATCCCAAACCTTGATAATAGGTAAGAGATATGCGCGTGGCTTGCTTGATTTCTCCTCTCTCCAAACTCTACGAATTGATGGTACCACTATTCCCTACTCAGATACTACCAAGAATCTAGGCGTTATTTCTGACTGCCATCTGACTTGGGGCGCTCATATTACGGATGTAAGTAGGAAAATATTTCATGCCTTTCGTTCTCTAAAACGTCTTCAAAGTTTTCTACCCTTGTCTACTAAGATATCTATAGTCCAGACTCTTATCTTACCAATTTTAGATTACGCTGGTGTCTGTTATCTGGATGCTACAGAGGAGCAAATTAATAGACTTGATCGCTTGCAAAATGTATGTATTCGATACATTTTTGGCTTAAAGAAGTTCGATCACGTTTCTGTTTATCGCAAGCAGCTTAAATGGCTCCCAATCCGCCTTCGCCGGAACACTCGTATCCTCTGTCTTCTTTTCAATATTCTAAATAATCCTACTATTCCGCTATATCTAAAAAACGTTTTACTTTTGTTCATTCTCCAGATGTACCATGTAGGTCAAATACTAGAGCATTGTTAAGATTTCCGTCTTTCAATACCATGCTCTATTCTCATTCTTTTTCTGTTAACGCAGTACGATTGTGGAATTCACTTCCCTTTGGGATTCGTGATGCTAAATCGGTGTCTATGTTTAAAAGACTTGTTAAAGAGCACTATCATCCACTCTATAATTATTAAATCGTAATGTGTTGGTATGCATATAAGTAACATTAAAAATATATATATTGAATTATATATATATATATATATATATCTTTTTATAATATATAATATTTATTTATATATGTATATATAAGTATGTATAGTATATGTATATTTATGCAAGTGCACACTTTGACTACCACTATTTTCATCAACTATCCTTCAATAGGCCTGCTGGAAGAAATTTCATCATGGAATAAGCAGTGCCTTTGTACATAATTATGTTACTGTTACTGTTACATAAACTGTTAAATAAATAAATAAATAAAATAAATAAGGAAGTGTTTATTTATACGATAATCGAACATTAAATTTTTCCTAATTTATACGATTAATTATCGTATGATTTATTTATTTTATTCCTACGTTATATTTTAAAGTTAAAAAAATTAAAGTACAGCCCATATACGTCCCACTGCTGGGCACAGGCCTCCTCTCATTTCTGAGAGGGATTAAGGGCAAGGAAGTGTCCGCCGCGCTGCCCCAATGCGTGTTGGTGAACTTCACATGTCTTCGAAATACTTTTTTTCTTATTTCTCAGACATGCAGGTTTCCTCACGATGTTTTCCTTCATCGCCGAGCACGTGGTAAATCAGCACTTAAAATTGCAATTAATAATTTCATTGGTGCCGGCAGGGATCGAACCCTGGTTGCTCGCGTACTGTGAAATTTACCGCGAGCGCCAACCATCTGAGCTACCACGGCTCTCTGTAGTAGTTCAGATGGTTGGAGCTATTTTAAATGTAAAATATAAATAAAACAAAAATTAGTTTTATAATTGTACACAATTTAATTACATAAAGTACCTAAGGTGCGGCTGGGATAGCCCTTGGAGCTTGGGCCATGGTTAACCATAAATAAATTTAAAAAAAAATTTTTAAATTTTTTTTAATATTTTTCAAAATTATCATATGTATAATTATTTTTAATCATACGTTTAGGCTAAGTTCAGGCTAACTGCATTAGTTTTTAAGAAGTCAGGTAAATTAAAACTACAAAGATTATTACACAAAAATGTCATATAAAAATATTGTATTTTACCATAATCAGTCTCATAATTTACTTATTTTTAAAACCACGTTTGGACCGTAATGTCCTGTAGAGATGACCATAGTAGGAAAGGAGAGATATCCAGTTTGTTAAACTGCATTTTAACCATTCTTTTCCTTTAAGGTTTAAGCATTAGCTCATTCTTATTTTTTTCACATTATAAACACTTTATCACCAAACTCTGTGTAATTTTCATGTACCCAAAGTTGGCAAACGCAAGTTGTAAAACGCATTAAAAGCAGCATCGATGAGTTGCGTTTTTTAATGAGTTTTTTTTCTTCAATTCCTGCATTGTTGTTCCCTTCTCTGTTTCCACCTTCTTCATCAGACGAATCATTGGTTCTACATTTCTATTGGTTCTACATTCTCATCACTACTTTAAGATATTTTTTTTTGCATAATTTTAATGTGATTAGCGAGTTTCTTTTCATTTTATTCGCCGAATGGAGAAGATAGTCTTTCTATGCTCGTTATAGGAACTGTGTTGATAGTCATTTCACCTTCAAACAGAGTCCTTGGTTGCCTTAAAACACTATCAGTCCAGCTCCTTCATGAGATGGTTGTAACTAAATATCTACTAAAACATGATCAATATAAATGTACCATAAACAAAGCAAATATTGCAAGTGTATTATTATATACAACTTTCAATATTATACATTACCATGTACCACCATGTATGGCCATCCTCACAACAGTGGTAGAGCCACGCGGCAGCTTTTGCTGTCGCAGGGATGGGCCGGCTCGAACCGGGGTAGTACCACGACCTCACAGAAAACCAGCGTGAAGTAGAGGTTTACCTCTGCGTTTCGCTTGGTGAGTGCAGGTGGCCGGAGGCCTTTTTTACTGGAAATGAGGCATTCCATCTTAGTCCTCACGGGTGACAACGCATCTACATTTTGATTTGTAACAGAGGATAGATGTTGATGTCTATGGGCCGCAGCAACCACTTACCATCAGGTCGACTGTGTGCTCGTTTGTCACCCTTATCCTATAAAAAAAATCCTCCTACAAACCTAATCACCCGGGATAGATGGCCACACATTATTTGTAAAAAAAAAAATATAATCATTGATACTATTTTTCTGTTATATTAAAGTTTGTTTCATAAACTGATCGCTTAACTTAAAAAAAAAACACTTACTTTTTTAAGATC